TTCAACACCTCAACTAATGCATGAATATTCACTATCTTTTCCACGAAATATTTAGCTCCTGCTTTAAAAATAGCCAAACACAACCCAATATCTCTCTCTCTCTCTCTCTTTTTTGTATTTTTTTAGGGAAGGGTCTACAGAGTGTTCAGTGTCTCACTACTAGACCGGACTGCTTACAGGCTCCCAAGAGCTGGGATTAGAGACGCGTGTCACCACGCCCAGTCTCAATTGCCATCTCAGCACATCCTGGGGGCAGGGCCGGCATGGCAGGCCCAGGGATCCAACTCCAGTCCCCTGCATGTGCTTTAATCCGCTGAGCTATTTGGCTGGCCCTCAATCTCTCTTTTAACACAAAATTTTTCATCTTGGATGAAATTACCCTCCCTATAAGATTCACTTCATTGGGGCTTTTTTTGTAGAGGTTACTTTTAGTGATTAGACCCTATGTGATCAATGAGATGTGTTGGAGAAATGGATGTATATTTCACAGGCAAATGGTTATCAGAAGATGGTTGGATAAAACAATTCAGGAACACACATGTAAGGTTTCTAATCAAAAAACTTCCCAAATGCTGCAGCTGTTTGTGAAATGTGGTCTTGATCTCAGAAATCTGTATTAGTTTCCTATTATTGCTATAATTAATTATCACAAATTCAATGGCTTATAATAACACAGATTCATTATATTGTAGATCTGGATGTCAGAAAGCCAAAATGGGTCTTCCTGTGTTAAATACCAAGGCTTAACTAGGCTTGTTCCCTTCTAGAGGTTCTAGTCGAGAATCCACTTTCTTGCTTTTTCTAGCTTTTACAGACATCCCACACACCTTGAAATGTAGCTTCTTCCACATTCCAATCTAGCAAAATCTAGCCTAGTCTTTCTTGTTGTATCACCACACTCTACATCCTTCTTCTATATAAAAGGACACTGGTGATTATACTAGGCTCATCACAGTCTAATATAGTTCCTCTGCCTTAAATTCAGCTGATTAGCAATGTCAATTACCTTTGACTATGTCAGGTAACATATCCACAGGTTCTAGGGGTTAGGATATGATATTTTATTCTGCTTACCATTCTGTCCAAAGGAATATCATACGACAATAACCAGATGAGAAAAAACTCATGCAGATACTAGGATTTTTTTTTTCCTGGAACTAGGGATTGAACTCAGGTACTTGCGCTTGCCAGGGAAGCACTTATTCCACTGAGCCATCTCCCCAGCCCCCCATGCAGATAAAAGATAATGACTACCATCTAAAGAAACTGTGGTCAGATAACTACAAAACAAAACAAAACAAAAAAAAAAAAAACCAAAGAGGGTAGAAATGAAAAGCAAGAATTCTCTGAGGATAAAACTTCTATGACCAAATGACATAGTCAGAACTTATATAGCTCATTCTAGTACCCCCAGTAGGTGCTTAGCTCCCCATGCACGCATGCCAGTGTCAGATGACAATATACAATTATATGGGCAATATCTGCATGTATAGTTAAAATGTAGTCAATATAATTTAAAATAGCTGTATCAGTTACAGCAATTCTTTCTTTCAATGAATGGAAGACAATATCCATCTAACATGAATCTACCATTTAGAACTACATATAAGAAGTCTAATATTTCTTGTTAGAGGACTTCATTTATTGAAGACATTTGTTAATATTTATCATAAATTTTCCTCACTCTAGTACAAATAACTTGGTGGCTGGGAATGAAGGACAATGGTAGGGTGCTGTAGGGAGCTGCGTATAACCGCGCCCTAAGATGGCGCCGGTTTCCACCTTCCACCCCCCTCAGGGGGTGAGCGCTCCTGGTAGTAAACAACTCCATAATAGGCCAAGGCTTGGGCTAATGCATTGCTTCCGCATACCTGGACCAATGGACAGTACATACATGGCACCCCATGGTTGGAAGCCCTGAGACTTATAAGCTAAGAGCAGGGGCCTCGGGAGAGGGAGAAGACAGATGTGGGAGAGCAATAAAGAGCTGCGCAGAAAACAACCAGTGGTCGCGTCTTCCTTGCTGGGAAGGCCACGCGCGACAGGGTGCCTTCTTGGCCAGCACAAGATCCTGAGTTTGATGCATAGCACCATCAGTAATTATATAAGTTATTTAGACTTGCTCTAAATATTTGTTACATAATACAGTTTTCAATCTCTTAGCATCAAACTCCAAATGAGAAATTTTGTGACACCTAGGGGGGAATGGTAGAGCTCTATATAATTTTAGGCAGCTCCAACAAATGTGGACAAGATGCTCCCTCAACAGAACAGCACTACTCTCTCCCTCTGTCACAAATGCCTCTGCCTAAAACATTCTTCCAATTCTTCACGAATGGATGTTCTTATCTGGAGATAAAAACAAAGGGAAAGAGATAAGTAAATCTAAAGTATAGAAAATACTCTTAGTCTCTTAGTCTTGAACTAGAAGAACAAAGCTTATAAAATCCATCTCAAATACTAAAACAACACCTACAAAGATGAAGAAAAAATTAATCACATATATGTAAAAGAACAAATAACTTTTAAAAGACAAACTTTTTAAGAATAAGTGTCTACGTATAAGATTTCTTTAACTCTCAAGAACTACAATACATTTATAAAACCTATATTCTCACAAAGATCAGAAAAGATTCTAAATCTATATAAAGACAACATTGAGATCTAGAAAGCCTAGTTTCTGATTTTAAAAAAAACCAATCACAATCTATTTTTTAAGAAAGAAGGATGTAATATAGATAGTGGACAGCATATTAGGTGATGATAAAAAACAAATCAGTATTTCCTAAGGAAAATTGAAGAAATTCCCCCAGAAATGAAAAGACCACAGTTAAGATAATGAATGAAAACTTGACAGACATACAGAATAGATTCTAGAAGGACAAAATGGGCTAGAAACTTGAAAAGTTTGTTTGAGATGGGATACCCAGTGTCCCCATTCTGTCTTCCCAGTAGTTATATGACTGTGCATGTCGACTTCAGTCATTTGCCAAGACCATGATTGGGGGAAGACAACCCTTCATTCTAAGACACTGGGTGTGGTAAAAAGGAAGTCATCCTCTCATCTGTCATGCAACACATGCTTCTGGCAAACCTGGTGTTATCAGACAATCTGCTCCTGAGTAGGAATTTCATATGTAACAGAATGGCTCTCCTTTCCTCTACTAACTACTAAAATTCAGTTTTTGGCATAAGAGTTTATAAAAACTTACTAGAAGAAAATAAAAGAAA